ATCATTGTGGGAGAATTCTTCTTCTACCAGTCCTTCATCACCTTAAACGAAATTGGGTGAATACATCTCAAATAAAAGATGTTTCAAATTGCTGCTGATAGCTTTTGTCGTCAACTCGATGTATCTGGTCGTGTATCCACTTTATTTCGTTGCATTTATTCTATCTGTGGGTGTTTGCCAGCTTCATTAGGCTTGCTTTAGTCCTTCTTCCGAGTCGATTTCTCTTAAGAACCTGGAATGCTCTAGCTGGATTGTCTACTCTTAAAATATCCCTGCCTCGCCGTCAATCTCTTGCATCCCATCAGAAGTTGAGTCTATTTTCTCATGTCTATGCACGCGAGTATATGATGCTAAATGATGCTATTTGGCCACTATTTCGCCTATTCATGCCCCATCTTTGTCTCATGACCGCCACGACAGGTGACCTTTTTGACGCCATGGCACACCGACAACCCCGAGTTCCGACAGGCCATCCGATCTTTGCGTCAGCAAAATTTGCAACAACTCTGCAGCCGTGACCATCTCGAGTTTCCCACTCGTCCCGGAGCCCTCGAGCCGGGACAGACTCGCGCCTCTCAGACCGGCCTGTTCAGCTCGGCCGATGCAGTTGCCGAGCGGTCGAGTCCCCTCGAGGCCAGAGCCGTGGCGAGCCCAATTCGCCCGACCGGACGAGGCACAAGTCAGTGGCATCCGATGGAGCGTCAGCTCGAGTCTCGCGGCAGACTCGAGCCGGATCGGCCGGGACCGACGAACGCCAGCAGCCCGATCCGAGCCGTCTCGACGCCTCCGGCAGATGTTCCTTCGAGGCCAGAGATGAGGAGGCAGAAGGGCGCTGCGAAGAAAGAGGAGGAGAAAGAGCAGCAGCAGGAGGAGGAGGAGGAGGAGGGGGAGAAGGAGGAGGAGGAGGAGTGGAGGAAGAGTGGCGAAAGAGGGCAGACTGTTGAGCGGGAACGGCGACGGCGAAGGCGACAAGAGGCGGGCGAACGTCAACGTGAAAGGAGAAGACAACAGTCACATCGTCTTGCCAACCAGGCTCAGTATAGTCCGGCCGAGGTGAAACAGGCCGCCGTCGAGCGGACGCCTCCGGTTAGCTTGGCAACAAACTCCGATTCTGTATCATCCTTGTTCGTGGCCGGCTATGCTCGTCAGGGCCATCTGCCGGCCGTCCAGCGGCCTCGAGGTGCCGGCGTCAACATTACAGAATCGGCTCCGCGACGGGCCGGCAGGCAGACACAATTTGAGGCCAGACGACGACAACGTCAAAGCGACCGTCAACGCCAAAGAGAGCGAGAGCGTGAACGAGGCAGGGAGCAACCGAGACGAGGCCGACAGGAGCATGCAGCAGACGGAACCTCAAAAGGCGAAGATGGCGGTCAAGACGGCAACGGGAACAGCAGCACATTTTCTCTGTAGACGCACATCTTCAGAGCATGGCAACCGGTTTTCAGTCTTGGTGCATGCGTCTTGCAGCTTGTCCGGCAGAGAGTGAATGGGTCTGCATCGCGGCTCCTGGGAAACCTCGAATTAGCTCATTGCAAGCCTCGATTGACATGTCTCCAGGAGGGATCGGCGTATCGCCATTGTACATGCCCCTTCTGTATCCACTGACCCTGCCCGTGTATCTGTTCTTGGCCGCTCTCTGTGTCCAACATGTGTTCTTCTCAAATATGCATTTCTTTGTGTTTACCATTTCTGCTTTAGTGAAAATTATTAACCATGACATGACAATATAACAGCATATAGGGTCTTCGCCTGGCACTTGAACTGGACCTCACGGCTCAAAACTGACCTTTGACCCAAACTTTGACAAAGCATCAATGTATTTTTCTAAAATTCCCAACTCATAGTCCATATATACACACACACACACACAATTATGCATACATGAATGTAATATGCATATCTCTTTGTTGCCGTTACTTATAGCCTAACCTATAACCAGATTTTTACGTTATGGATAGCCTCTTAATGTTTAAGTCGTGTTTAAGGATCGCCACTACAGCCATCCGTCGTCTCTTTTCAACTGCACTTTGCATCCCGTTTTCTTCGCCCCAGCTAACACACAAACATTCATCTTCACTTTTTTACTTTGCAAAAAATGTCATCTATTGTGTCAACTTATCTCCTTGCCTACAAGGCCCACCACCATTTCGAGTGATTCACTTGCTCAGGCTCCGACAAATGCCCATTGTTAAAGCATTTCTATTCACCATTGTTTGATTATTTGCATGTGTGGCCGTGAGGTGGTGTGCTTTTTCTGTTGTACCCGCATTTATATGCAACTTGGACAGAGTCAACGTGTGAAATGTCTTCTGGAGAGCTTAAATGTGCCCGTCGAAAGGGCAGCTCTTCAGTATTTGCGGGTGCTCTTGGAAGATGGGTCACTTCGGTCTGGGATAAAGGCACACACAATACTCATATATTCGATATTATTGAGAAATGGGCGTTGTGAATTGTCAGATATGAATGTCTAGTTCGTTTTATTCAAGAACTAAGAGTGTACTTTGATTGATTCATTCGCATCGCAAGTTTCTAGTGACTTGAATATCCCTTCGTGATGGAAGGGATGATGGGCATTGGGAGGGTGGCAACAGTGGCCTATTTGCACCGGCCAGCAGGTAAGTGTGGAGCGACTATTGAGGCCATTATTTAAGACTAGGCGCTTGGAGCAAGGGGCATGAAGTGAACCTTGGTACTCCCTATCGAAAGGAGAGGAAAAGTCCATTTGTGTTATGAATATGTTTACTGTTCGTTTTCTCGGTATGCATTTATCGCATGATGATTTGGCTAGTTGTGAGGTTACACCTACTTTTCAGCCAACAACTATGCCGAATTGTTTAGGCATCCTTATGCACAGGTTGAAATTCACTCTCAAAATCATATCAATTTTAGAGGTTGTTTGACCTTGTTTTCGCAACATGGTCACATTGGTAGGAAGACTTAGAGGAAGGTACATAGTTCGGAGTCCATTGTCTGCATGATCATTTCCAAAGTTGAAACGTGGACGTGGTACATTCCCAACTCGTCAAAGACACAAGTGAAGCCGATCCTTTGTTTATCACACGTTCGGTAAAATGATTGGCTTCACTTGTCTTTTCGACGAGTTGTTGTGCGGTGCTAAGAATGGCGAGACTCACTGACGATGCCGGCGAAACGTTTGGGAATGTACCACGTCCACGGTTGAACTTTGGAAATGATCATGCAGACAATGGACTACGGACGATGTGCGTTCCTCTAATTCTTCCTACCAATATGACCATGTTGCGAAAACAAGGTCAAACAACCTCTTCACAACCAAATGTCCGCGTAAATGGGGTTCAAGCAATATGAGGAATTAGGAATATTTGACATTTTAATCAAGTGGTGACATATAAACTAAATATTAGGAAATAAGATAAGTCTGTGCATGCATGCAGCAAAATTTTGTCGGGCAAAGGGGTATTTGGGTAGCACTATACTAAGATATAAATTGAGGCCGACATTAAGAAGTTGGGCTACAAAAAATAACACTAAAATGAACATAAGGTGATCACGAGTCATTGATATTCAAAACAATCTGGGCAAGGCATTTTGAGGTAAGTTTAATAGTCTAATGTACTCATAAGGTAAAGTAGCCACAAAGAAACTGGTTTAGCAAACAAAAGCAACTTAGCGTGAAGATTAAAAGTAGCCGGGGAACTGAATGAAGCAGGATATTGCAATAGTCCCATGGTTGAGCGCATATGGCGATAATATTAGTATTTTCGAAAGATCACGTAAAAATGGAATAAGTGAATTTTGAAAAATTTGTTTTTAGCCTTTTAAACCGTATACTCACTGACGATGCCGACTACGATGCCGGCGAATCGTTTGGTAATGTACCACGTCCACGGTTCAACTTTGGAAATGATCATGCAGACAGTGGACTCCGGATTCGGTGCGTTCTTCTAAGTCTTCCTACCAACATGACCATGTTGCGAAAACAAGGTCAAACAACTTCTATACAACGAAAGGAGACTGTTTCCCTACATTTAATATCAATTTTTATTATAAAATATCTTTGTGGTCTACATTTTAGACTGACCTTTATAATTTGGAAGAATGAATCATATTTCAATGATCTATTCGATTCATGCGTTTATGTGCAAACAGTCCCTTCAAAAGAAGGCAAGGGATGCAATATACGACTTTAAAGTTTATCGCAAAGACGTCTTTCATAGGGACGTTCGTTCAGGTGGCATTTGAGGGAAGATTCTAGTTCATGGTCATGTAAATGCTATGTGTTTGTTCGGCATCACATTCTACCCCAGCAGGCTGAATATATTATCTATTTTATCCTGTACTTGGTTGCTTTACTTAAAAAGGGACAGAAAACGAAATTTGTTGGATATATCTCATACATATGATATATTGGTAGTGTCGAAAGCATACTACTATAGCAAATACAACAAAATTCCCACCATAGAGTGTGATATTGAAATTCGAACCTGCACTGTGACCGAGATTACACACTACCCGATTGTGGTTCGAGTCTTGCTGGGGGTGCTGCTGCGACCAGTCCAGACTAGGTCGAAACTGCGGTACACTCTGGATGAAAATAAATTTTGGGAAAGCAAGGGCATGTGAAATTCCACGGAAACGTCATGTCTATACATATCATTGCGGGAACATTCAACTTCCAGCTCCTTATCACCGTAAAGAAGATAAGATGGATATATTTCATAATAATAAACTATCTTTGTGGTAGGTATTTACGTTTCCCTGTCGACCTAGAAAATTAGCTAGGCATACCCACATTGTTTGGAAGATATAATCATAGTTAGTGGATTCTTGCGTTTGTGAGCAAGCAGATCTCTCAAAAGTAGTTAAGGGACTCAGTATACGAATCTGCATTTCATCTATAAATTGCTGTTCATGGCACTTGAGGGAGATTTTACAGACTCATGGACATTCAAGTTCACGGTATTGTGAATGGTTTTTGCTTATTTGGCGTCTCACTCGACCTTAGCAGGCTGAGTATGAGATCTATTCTTTCCTGTACTGGGTTGTGCCACTTGAAAATGGGCAGAAAGAGCTCTCGATCGCCATGAATTCGGGCCAAGTATCTTGCTTACAACTCCTATTGCTCACCTCTAAACTCAAGACAGATAGGTTTTCAGATACTTAAATTGTTTGACTCACCAGAATCTGTTGAGTAGATTCACTCTTGGAGCCGGTCTTTAGATTTTGCCCAATTAACACTGTTTACTTCAGTTGCGTGAGCCGTCAAAGCGATGTTGGCGGTACCAAAAAGTTGAGTCTTCATTCGTCAGCTTGGCAACAGGCTGAGTAGATGAGGCATTCAATAAAATGAGGGCAGGACAGGTTAAGATCGTGGCCTCAATTTTGGTACAGCTACAAAATTCTGTCCAGTTCACAGGCTGTGTGTACGAAGGAGAAATTGTTTATAGTATGCACCAAAAATACGATAAAGAAACCGTGAGGTGTAGCGCTTAGCGTATCGAGACTATGCGCTACACAACCCAGGTTCGAGCCCCGCTGGGGATTTGGATGAGATCAAGGCAAGGTAGAAATCGCAGACCAGTTCAACCTGACTGGGTGTACCTTTTGTGAAGCAAGGCTATGCTAAATTCTGTGAAAACATGAAGCCTACATATGTGATTGCGGGAAAATTCATATATTAGCCGACTATCAGCTATATTGAAATAGGATGAATACAGCTTTTATATCAGATTTACTGATAGTCACGAAAATCTACTTATGATATGAAAAACGGTGCATTTGCTTGCCTTAGCAACAGAATTTTTCTCTGTCTTTTATCATCCTTTTCTTCGTACTCGGATCAAGTCTATGGCACTTTTTGTTAACTTTATAAAATTCTGTTATACCATCTCTGTTGGAACGCATTAATAGCAAAATCACTTGCTCTTAATGCATTTTAAACAGCGTATCTAGAGGCAAACATTGCAATATTTGGTCATTTCCATACTGATGTGCATGCGTGTGTATGTGTTTGTATCTGTATCAGCGTAAGTATAAAGCCCTGAGGTAGTGCTGAATAATCAGAACAGAGTAGAACGTCATTCATGAGGTCGTGGAGATAACTCTTACCTTTTCTTTTGTATGCATACATGACCAAATAGGACACAATGCTGCTTGAGTTGAAAAGTGTCTGGGTATATTTACAGAATATGGGACTATGATCAGAATGCCCAAGTAAAAATGAACAGCATACTAAGAGAAAATAGATATTTATTTAAAATAAAATCATAATGAATTTTCTAAACGAAATCAAAACCAAGACTACTCTGATATACCAAAAGCCTCTTGGAAGTGCAGTTGTTATTTGTACTTTTGAAGGGCACTGACGGATATGGCCAAATTGGCCTGTTTCACAACTTATTCCTGACGAAAATATTTATGTAAAGATCTAAAGACTGAAAACCAATTAATTAAACGCTGTTGATTGGGTCATATGGAAGCAGTCTCCAGCCAGAGCTATCATTTTCAATCTTGTACGTAGGATAAATAAATAGATTCCAGACACTCGTGTTATCTGTCATATGACAACAGCAGAATAAATAAAAATCAGCTTACTAAGTCTGACAACCGAGTTTTGACACCAAAATGCATCATGCAGTCTGTCTTCGGAAAAGGAGCAAATTTTAAGTCCGGTCTTGATATTGATAGTAGGTATAATGCTTGGTGTCTCCAGTATCATTACTTTACGTATGGTAGACCTAG